AAACTGATAAACTGGAAATAAAGTTTTTTTTTTTAAAATTGGAAATAAAGGTTATCAAAGAGGCTCTTAATTATTTCCTAGAATTGCACTCAAATAGAATTCAAATATGTATCTAATAGTTTCATAGTAAAGCTGAAAATGCTAAAGACAGTATGTCAAAATACATGAAACATCGATGGGATTAGTTTCAGTCTAAAAACCAGGTCAGACCAGAGCATACTAGATCAAACCATGCTAGACTTTTGACAGTTGTAAAACACTTATAGAACAAATATACACCAGAGTAGACCCATTCAGATCAAATTGGATCAGAAAATTTTAGACCAATAAAAAACACCCTTACACGAGATTTACATGTGAAAACACAATTTCACTCTAACATAGATTAACACAATTTTACTCAAAATGATAAAATAAAAAATGATAAATTGGTGTGGTTTGACCTGGTCATATGAAAGATAATTGGTTTTTAGAATTTATATTACATTAATTTAGTACTACAATAATGTTGGAACTCTTTGTACGTTACATTGAATTAGTTCAGAATTAGAACTACTCATGCTAGATTATTCTACGTAATTAAAAAAACATTCTATGCATTCTACATTACATTAATTTAAAATTTCAAAAATACAATTATGAATTATTGAAAGTTTTTTGGTGTTCAATTAGAATTCAACAAAATTTTATACACTAGTTGTGTAAAACTTTCTCAATATTCATAAACGAATCATCTACTATATCAGTGCAAACCAGTTCAGATTAGATCATAGTCAAACAAATCAAATCAAAACAGAAAAATTTAATCCAGTTATAAACATTTTTCAAGGAGCCATCCCTAAGATTTAGAGCTCAATGTTAGATTAGAATCAACAAATCTTTTCAAACATTCGAGATATTTTAATGTCATGAAATAACACTAAAAAGGTCATAACTATGTTTTTAAGTTCTGGTCTCTCTAAAATGAGAAACTCTCCAAGGGTCCCAAAAGCACCCCCCATTTTCTTAACTGCACCCGTGCAGTTATGATTGTCATGTTTTTATTCTCAAAGTAAGAGTAATTACTGTCAAGTTTGAAAAGTACTGTCATGCTTAAAGTCTGGTGCTGCCAAAATATGACAATAGTTAGTCATGTTTTGGGAATAAAAATATGATAGTCATGTTTTATAATTTGGAATATACAAACGTTTTGACTCTTTATTAAATAAGCACTCCGTAAATTACAAAAATATGTAGTTACTTTTGAAAAAGCGACAAGCCACAAATTAAATCTAATTGATAAAAATATGCACCAGGAAACTTCTTTTTTATTAGGTAAAGATGGTTGAAAAGAATACTTTCGTTGGGATGTAACAGAGAGTAATAAAAAAAGTTGACCCTTTTAATTGGAAAATATAGATTGGTCAAGAACATTTATAGATAATTAAATTAGTTAAAAAATAAAACATACTCAATAAATGATAATATGAATTACTAAGTATCAATCAATGTTATAATCAAATGAATAAGCGATTTTCCGTTAGCTATAATCACACATACATATGTCAATGCATACGCGCGCATATAGTAAAAACAAAAAAAAAACATTTTATCCTGTGCAGGGCACGAGTAAAGATACTAGTGTATATATATATATAAGAGGAACTTTTTAAGAGCATACGGCACGCCACATAATCTTGCCATGTCATCATATATACCAATTATTTAATTACTTTTTATTCCTTGTATTTTTTATTACATTCTATTTTTTATTTCATATTGATAAGGAAACAAAAGGCTAGCTATAGGATAGAATCCACCTTATTTGGTAACTTTTTCAGAATCTATTACTTATTTTTTGCAACTCAGAATCTATTACTTATTGATTTGGATAGTTATTAAATTCAGCAATTGGAACCACAACAATTAATAGCCATCTGAGGCTATATTTTATAACAATTGTGTTAATACGTTGTATTTTTCTGCATCTTTCTTAGTTATTGAGATCATAATGATGAAAATTATGATCACAAGAGTTTTTTGACTTAAAAATGAAATTGATATACTATTAGACGTTCAAATATGAAGACATTTAAAACTTTTGATCAAGTAACCTTTATTTAACAAGGTGGAAATTCATATCATATATATATATACAAAAATGATCCTGTCCGAATGTTCGGACAGGATCCTCCGTCCGAACATCCCCGTTTGGGGCCCTTCCCGGTGGAATTTTTTGATGAAATTTTTTGAGCATGTTCCTCATCAAGTCTAGTTTGTCTTCAGCTCAAATTTCGTTCGGGAAGGCATTCAAATGATTTTTTGAAGTTGACTGCGTCAAAATATACATATAAAAACGCAGTCAACTTCAAAAAATGAACATAAGTGTACCTTACCATGTTCGTAGGTATACCTTACCGGAAGTTTTTCCTATATATATATATATATATATACACACATACATACATAGGGGTGAGATCACATACAAACTAGTCTTCCCACGCTAACCTACAAACCTTCACAAACTGTGCATCTTTACATTATTTGTACTGCATATTGAAGTTCAAAGTGTTGCATATTATTTGTACTGCATATTAAAGCCCAAAGTGCTGCATATTATTTGTAATGCATATTGAAATTTACAGTGTGCATCTTTACATTATTTGTATTGCGTATTGAAGTTCAAAATGTTGCATATTATTGAGTTTGTAGGTTAGTATTTTAAGCATGGTTTGTACTTGATCTCTTACCTATATACATACATACATACATACATACATACATACATACATACATGCATGCATGCATGCATGCATGCATGCATACATACATACATACATACATACATACATACATACATACATACATACATACATACATACATACATACATACATACATACATACATACATACATACATACATACATACATACATACATACATACATACATACATATATATATATATATATATATATATATATATATATATTCAAAAGTAAATGCGTTTAGCCCAACCAAAAAAGTAAATATGTTTAGTTGTTTCTTTATTTTTACAACTACAATTTAAATATTCCTTCACTTTTGAAATAGATTCCCGCTTCAAATTAGGAAATCTTCGTATGTTTACATATTCCTAAATTTTATTTATAAGATGTTTTTGATTGGACCGATTTTAGTTCCAGACAAAATCAGATCACACATAAATAATAATATTAAAAATAATAATCACACACACATATTACTTCAGACCAAATTAGAACAAAAAATTTCAATCCAATTAAAAATATAATTATTAATAAAATTTTCAATGTGACGAAATAATGAGTAAATTGTAAAAGAGGTTCACTTTTTTATATTTTCAATGTGACCAAATAATGAGTAAAATGTTATATCTCACTAATAAAATTTAAAAATACTTATTTCATACCACGTTGAATGAGAAATATAAAAAAAAATAGTATTTTGATATGCTTAATAAAGTTATTTAAAGGATACAAGATCAATTAAGAAACTTTTGTATGAATTCTTTAACAATTATGTTTTGTTGAGATGCTTATGTAGAAAAGTTTATTTTAAATCTTTTTCATATATTTTTTTATGTTATTTTATAAATGATATACGTAGTACATTTAATTTTATTTTTTCATAATTCGTGAGATTCAATCAATTCCGCCCAATCAGTTAGATTTAAATTCATTACAATAGAATCAGACGATTCGACGACGGCTTTATTTTAAACCAAGTTTATTTTGATTTTGCATCACATATGTATGATTAAAAAAAAAATCAAATTTACATTTAGCTAAATTATGTACCGCCGTGCATCGCACGGGCTTGAAAACTAGTATAAGAATAAAGTAAGAATGATTTAAAACCACACGAACTTTACTAAATTGGGTATGAAACAAACTTAGTGAGACAGCACGAAAAAGAAATATGATACAATGTTAGTGAGACAGCACCATATTTAAGATGTGCTAATGTCAAATACCACAATTAATTTTTTCGGAATGACAACAAAGTACTCAAATAGTACTATGTACTCCGTAGTATTTAGGGAAATAAAACATAACACTCATATATTAAACCTTTACATTATTTTCATTTTATTTGGGAAATTTTCCTTCTCAATACTTCTTTAAGTTCACTTTTATAAGTTTATTGGGGATGATAAAAAAAAAAGTTTATTGGCAGTCAAGTAGGAATGACAACGGGACAAATCGGGGACGGTTTTACATAAAATTGTACCCGCCCCGATTGGTAACTCCCCACCACGTAACCGCCTCATTACCCAACGGGTAATTTTTATCCAAACCACCACCGTCCCAACAGGTAACGGGTATAACCGCAAGTAATCGCTTTATTAAATGAGTCATTGATATTGTAATATAAATTTAAAATAATATTTTAAAAGGCGAAAAATGGCATCACCTAAATGACTCTAGAGTAGGGGTGGACTCGGGCCGGGCCAACCGGCCCGGAACCGGACCGGCCCGCCACTGTGCGGGCCCGGACCGGCCCGGTGAACCGGTTCGTGCCCGGTTCGGGCCTCCCGGCCCGGTGGTATAGCGGTCCGGGTCCGGGCCTCCAGTTTAGTGAACCGGCCCGGCCGGGCCGGGCCCGGTTCGGGCCGGAATTTAATTTTTTTTTTTGGGAATTTTTTTTAAATTTTGGGTTGGATTAGGTATTTTGGGCCATTTGAGGTGGTTTGGGGTGGAGAGGGAGGGGTAGGGGGTTAAATAAGAGAAGAAGAAAAAAAAAATTAAAAATCCGGGTGGCCCGGCCTGGCCCGGCCCGGAACCGGACCCAGAACCGCCCACCACCGGTTCGGGCTCGGGCCTCATTTTTCTGAACCGAGGCCCGGCCGGGCCAAGGCCCGAACCGGGCCCGAACCGGAACCGGTCCACCCCTACTTTAGAGTCAGACACCACTTCAAAGTTTCATATATCTACAAGACGAGAAAAAAGACAACCCAAATTAATTTGAATCTAAAAATACTTGATCTGAAAAATAACTAATCACGAAAAAAAATCTGATAATTTCAAACAAGACTATTAAGATCTATTATAAACTTTCATTCATACACTATAGCTAGTACATCTATCAACCATATATACACAATGGAAATAGAAAAATCTCATCTTTTATTAGTTGTGACACAAATAGTAGATAAGAATGTAATAAAAATATAACTAAAAATAAGCAGGGCGGACATGTATAAAACCGTAACCAATCTATTACCCATAGAAATAAATCAGGTATTTCCCGCCCCATACCCATTACTCGGTCAATGCGGATTTCCTCATTTTGACTTGGGCGGTTCGATGCGGATATCCATCTGATCGTTCACAATTGTCACCTCTACATTCAAGTGCCCCAAGTCAAATAAAATAGTGTTGTAGACCACTTCAAGTCAATAAAATTTAGGTGACTTCAAGAACAGCTCTTCTTCAGCAGAAATATCCGACATCGGAAGAAATTTAATACTACCTCCGTCCCATATTTATCTTCATAGTTCGGTTTACGATGCTTGACTGACGATAAAGCAACTTGATCCCTGTTCACACTCGAATTATTTTTAGTAAATAAAATTTACATATTCAGAAACTACATTAAAACCGCTACAAAGCCTGATCAAGAAAATTTAATTTTGATAAAATTTGATATATAAAGTAAAAGATTAAGAGTAATTTGAGTTGACCATGTGAATAGTAACTATGAAGATAATTTTGGGACGGAGGGAGTAATTTATTGCCTGTTTTTACGGGTGCAAAGAAAGGACAACACCGAACGCCGTACATAACTTTGGAGAAAACTGGTGCAAAAGAACGTGGAACTACCAATCTGATAGAGAGGAGAATTACATCAATATCTTGTTTCCATTATCAAACAAAGAAAGTCCTACCCAAATAAGAAAAGTAAAAAGAGGAACATCTTAACTCTTAAAAAGGAAAAACTAAAGAAGCTGCATATCAACACATAACTTTGATTTCGTAAAGAAATTCATATACATGACCCAAATGGGAAAGGATCGAACCCGAATTCCCCCTCTAGTAAGCCTTCATCTTGTTCCTGCAGTGCATGAAATGATAATGAAGCATTTAGTATTTAGATGCATGAAAATGAAGCAAACGTTTTCTAAGAAAATATTTACTCAGGATATAGTCTTTGTGAAGATTTCTTATATTTGATAATTTTCACGTAGGTTTTGTGCACAGTATACTTTTACATGCAACATCTTCTATTTAGTATTTATGGTGTGAGTATATTTCCCCAAGAAACCAGTAAACGTATTGTCACATAGTCACATACTCCAAAGATGCATTGGTGAAAGCCGAGTGAGAGTAGTGTTACTAGCTCTATCTCTACCCCCCACCTCCCGCGCAACTTGGCACACTTATTAAAAACAATGAAATTGTGCGCTTAAGATTTATGCAGAGAACAGTTTAGAAAAACAATTATTTCCTCAAAAGGAATGAGAAACCATATGGATGAAAAAGGAAAGAAGGGGCCCTTTACAGGGAGGGAAGGATTGTTATGTTTATATCACCTAAAAGTCTAGAACAGTTAAATACACTCCATCCACCTCAAATGCAAACAATAATAATACTGAGATGCTTAAGAGTCTAGCTTGATGAAGTTCGCAGGAGGGCTTAGTTAATATCTTGAGAAAAAAAATAGTGCTAAAAATGACTGAAAACATAAATAAAATGTTATAGAATCACATTTCAAGTTAATCTTTCATTTTTTATAAAATCTCAAATATATACGTAGTATATCAAGACCAACCCCCATCCCACCTAGTTCCTGTTGCAATTTAATACCCTAATCCAAATATACTAATTTTAAAATATATAAAAACATAACATACCTGCTTGATCACTGAACTCATCATCAGATCATCTATAGATCCAAAGCCTGGAGAGGGTAAAGCCTCATTTGGCTTTGGTGGCTCAAAAAGGTACTCTCCATAGTATCCCGCCCTTGAGTCAGGAGTCAAATTCCCATTCTTGTTGTGTTGCAACAGAAATGAAGGCCCCATACTTGATTCACCACAAGCATCAATCACTCTGTTGTTGCAAAGGTCATCACATTGGTCAACACCAATCCGGGTCAAAGGCTGTGGCACGATGTTGTTGACCGGGCCCCGAGAACTTATTGTGTTTCCATAAACAGCATTTGACTTGTGATTATTAAGTTTACTATGTTCTCCCCACTGTTGAGTAGCCACATGATTAATAGTACTCTGACTGGCAGCATCACCTACCAACCTCTCAGGGCCAACAGAAGTAGACGCGGTGCAAGAATACATGGGACAGCTGCCCTGTAAACGCGGGCCCACAGAAGAACTACTCTCTCTCACACAATTTTGTGTCAGTTGGGGGGTATGATTGAACGTTTCGGTCACCGGCTGGAAGTTGTTGACCTGAATTGTGTTCTGCCAATTCTCACTCGACCTTCCATGGTCAGGAAAATTGGAAGACCCGCTAACTGTGAGGTTAAACGGATCAGAATTTAACGAAACCACATTTAGAGCTTGCGGGATTCCAACTCCTCCTGCAATTAGCCCAACACCAGAACTTGGATCTGGAAATGTTGTATTTGCAGCTCCAAGAAGCGTGGAACCACCTAACGGGTTGAGGTCACTTTGTTGCAAGGGGTCAACAAGTTCTAATGGTGGGACCCAGCTTGCATTCGGGGTAACAGCTGGACCTGTGGATGGACCCAACTTTCCAAGAGTACCAAAAGACTGGCTCAAATTTTGAGGGAGATTAAGATTCCGGATGTTTACACCAGCAGCACTATTTAGTCTACCAAGCATGCCACTTGGTGGGTATGAAGATAAAGAAGGATGGGTAAATCTTCCTGATCCTGCCAGTGTCCGGAAATCTCCGAGCCCGTCAAGTGAGCCCAATCGCATGTAAGCAGATTCTTTCCCCCCAAAGGCAGCCACCATGTTGGCCTGTTGAGTTGCTACCGAACTTATTCTTTTCAAGTAGAGCCTGTACTTCTGCATCAGAATTAGAAGGTTTAAAAATTGTGTAGCCAGTATGTTATAAATAAATGATCATGTAGGTCTTCAAAGAAATATCCATAAAATAAAGCTAAATATCATTGATCACAATTGCAAAAGTTAAAACAATATTAAGTTCATGAAATAACTAATAAGGATATGCCATGAACAGTATTTAGACAACTTTTAGCTTCAATTTGTCTACAAATGCCTTTTTAATTCATTTTTTTACTAATGGCAAATTTGGTATGCATTTATTCCTTTCTGTTTTCCATCATTTCCAATGGAGCCAAAGACTCACTATTTTTGGCTTGGGAATATGATGGAATAAAGCAAAATGGCTCATTGAACTGTTTGTGTTTCCTTGTTATGAAACAAGAGTCAGTTCATGCAATTTGCGACGCGATTTTCATCATGGGTCATCCAGAAACAATCTCTTTGTAAGGGTAAGGCTGCATACATTTGACCCCCTTTACCCCACCGTTGGTGGGAGCCTTTGTGGCACTTGGTAATGTTGTTGTATTTATTCCTTTTTGTGTAGTTGGTGGCAAAAATATGTTTCAATGGACAGAATGATCAATGACTTGTAATGGTCATGATTTTATTCAAAGGGCATTTTTGTCTTCACTCCATTCTTCCAAGATTATTCCAATTCATCTTAATTCAATAAAAGATCTTATAATGCACAGAAATCCTACAACACATCATTCTAAAGCCTTGTTTGGTAACCACTTAATTCGCTGAAATAACAGAGTCTGCAGAACTTGTTGAAATAATAACATTAGGTAACATGATGACTAACATCCATTTCAGCCAAATAAGTACGTCAGCAATAACTTATTTTGCTAATTGAAGTAGGATAAGCCAGAAAGGCTACCAAACGGTGCTTGAGATTTGAATAAACATCGTTTGTACCTAATATATCTTATCGATAACACTGCAGACAAACTGTAGATGCAGGAAATTCCTAAAAATGAAAACAAAAACACTCGATATAAAAAAGTGGATATAATATTACCTGGAGATGGCTTGCTACATTCTCACGTGTAAGCCCATCAACATTCATCAGGTCAAGAATCCTTTTGGGTACAGCTTCTAAGATCAAACAATGAAACAGAATACAAGACAAGAAACACACGAATAAGAAACAATAAAAGATTTAGGGTGTGTTTGGACGGTGGAAAATGCTACGGCGAGTGGGGTGCAAAGGGACGCTATTTTATTAAATTTGGTTTTATCTCTGAAAATGCAAACACATGTTTTTTTTTGAAAATGCAAACACAGGTTATACACTTATACTGCTTATTCTACAGAACAAGCTGAATAATTAGAATAAGTAAAAAACTATGGTCATAGTTATGACTTACTAATTTTGAAAGGATTAAATATGATTCTAGTGGATGAGAGTATGGCTATGGAGAGAGCAAAATGGAAGGCAGATATTCGTGTGGAGGATTGATCTCTTTTCTTCTTTTCTATCCTTTTATCTTTTTATCTTCTTTATCTTTCTTATGTTCATCATCCTTTTATCCTTTTTATTTTTATTTTTATATATTCTTTCTATCCTTTTTATCTTTATAAGTTATACTACGATTTTGACATTACGATTTTTTAGAAAGTTGAATTTTTGCTTTTGACTTTCCCACTATACCCTTACATAAAGTAGATGAGGTGTAATCAGAGAGAGAAAGTGAGTGTAAAGTGGGTAAATGAAGTAAGGGTATAAGGCTAACTTATATTAAAAACTTGTCAAAAAATAGAAATGGGAACTTTATTTTGGACCTACCCAAAAACAAAAGTGGGAACTTTACTTAAGACCAGAGGGAGTATTTATCTTTATCTTTATCTTACCTTATCTTTTTTTATCTTTCTTATCTTTCCGGTAAGCCGACTCCAAAATCTTTTGGGATTAAGGCTTGGATGTTGTTGTAAATATGTTTCTGGACCCTTGAGATATAGTGTTTGTTTTTTTACATCTCTGCAAAATTATTTATAGGTTTTCCATCCCTATAATTTATGTTTTTTTCTTATTAGTTTCTCACCAATCATAACAACTTACTAAACAACTCTAACTAATAGATTTGGTATCATTCTTTGTCATGTAATTAAAAAAAAACATATTTTATTTTCTAGAGGATCATTAGAACCTATTTTAAAATGTGAATGATTAGTTTTACATCGTTTTAACTCCAACATTGGTCACCAAGAAATTAGAAAATAATAATAAATTTAAAAGTTTTCGGTAGAGTTATGCAAACAATAATTTTTTCTAAATGGAGATTTTCTCGGAGTTTGGGAGGGCCAAAAAAGAAAATGAGAATGAAAAAAAAGAAATATTTTGCACGGATATAAAAAAAGTGTCATTTATGTGGGGACTAAAAACGTATTTTAGCCAATTCGAAAATAGACCGAACGGGACACAGTTATATTTACAAGAACCCTTACAAAACGGGCTTGAAGTATGAGCATTGTTTTTTAATATAAAAAACAGATGTTTAGATTTCTTGGACATTATTATACAATAAAATGAATAAGCAAGTTCTTTTCAGAAAATATCTAAAGTCTAAACTACTTATTGAGTTTGAGTTTACCCTTGAATTTCCTTCGCTAATATTTTCTCATTACTCCACTATTCTTTTCCATATTTTATTTCCCCTGTAAATCCTGGGTACGAAACAGACCTATAAAGTACTTGTGGCAAAAAGATAAGCAAAGGAATGATATTAAAGAGCTCACTTTCAATGCCCAACTGATTAACAGCTGCAACGAACTTCCTGTGGAGGTCTATAGACCAAACAACTCTAGGCTTCTTCTGTGCAGTAGGGTCCTCATTCTCGTTCTCATTATCATCACTATCATCTTCCTCATCTTTCCTTTTCTTGTTCACCTTCATGATTTGTCCACAGCCATCCCCACCACCGAAACGAGCCGTGTCTTGATCAGTTGACTTGTTTTGGTTCTTGGAGTCGAACTTCTTTCTCCTGATGACATGCTGCCATATGTTTCTCAGCTCTTCAATCCGAACAGGTTTGACCAAATAGTCACAAGCACCGTGAGTTATTCCCTTCATTACTAGTTTGGGATCACTATTTCCGGACAACACTGGATGGAAGAAAAAAAACAGGGATAAAAATATTGTTGGTCAATTCACAAAAGGGAAAATTTGACTTTGCACCCCATTAATATTTTTTCTTTGAGAATGCACCCCAGAGTGGGGGTGTAAAGTAAAATGAAATGAAACCAATTTAAGGTGCATGGTCAAAGAAAAATAATTCATGGGGTGCACATTCAAATTTATTCTTTGCAACCACAAAATATGCTAAAAGAAAAACAAAAAATACGCCTTATTTGGATTTATTTAGGTGTTGAAATCGAATTACTCAAATAGTTAAATTAAATTACCAGGAATTGAATTATTACAAATTAGATAAATCACCTTAGGGCATTAAGGGTGTTTGGATATGCTTCTTAAGCTCTGTTCCTTCAGGTAACATAAGCAAATATTGGAGTGTTGGATGGAAATGCAAAAGTACTTCCAAGTGCTCCAAATTGCTCCTAGAAGCAGTTTTTAAGAAGCTTGGGAGACCAACTTCTGAAAAAATGATTCTGATTCTACTTCTGCTTTTAAAAAAAGAAGCAGAAGCAGAATCAATTCCAAACACTCCCTTAAAATTTGGAAAATTCTTTATTTTTATTTATCTATTTAAAATATTGTAGAGTTCTGTAAATTATTGCAGTAGAAAAAACACCCCAAGATGAGAAGCAGGACAATAATGTGAGGTGTATCGAATGTCCCCAATTTCAGAAACTGGCATAACCCCTTCCCTAAATCCGGGGAATAAGGGAAATTCTATGAATATGAAGCCAATCAATACGAGGGCGAGTCTATCTGTAAACATTATTGAACGAAACGCAAGATGTTAATTTAATCATAAACCACAAAAAATCAGATGCTTACTGATGACAGGGAGATCCATCTCGAGACCAACAAGTTCTAGCAGCTTAAAACCGTCCATATCAGGCATATGAACATCACTAATTACCAAGTCAAATCTGTCTTTGTTTTCTCTCAACATATTCAGTGCCATTCTTGCTTCACTTGTTGTGGTTACTATAAAAGAAAAATATAACAGAGTTCCATTTATGATTTTCAACACCCACACATGTATAACACAAAAGGGGAAACATCCCATGACAATAAATAAGAAAATAAAAATCAAAGAATGATCATAAAGTTGGTGTCTTGACAACTATAAGATGAAGTTCAAACTCATAAGCTCAATATTAGTCATTTAAAGTAGTGGAGGAACAATATAGAACACATCCAAACAAATCATATGATCTGCCCAGAAATGAAAAAAACCATACTTATTGGAAAACATTACAAAGACTTCATTAGCTACAGGCCTACAGCCAATTCCCAAACTATGCAATACCCGCAGGAATTATCATCTACATACTGAATTGATAGCGAGATCTAAATTTCCTCTTAGATTATTAGGATATTGAAGCAAGATCCAGAAAGTGGGATTTATTAAGTTAACGGGGGGGGGGGGGGGTCAATGAAACAGCAAATCAGTAAACTCTCCAGCCAATAAGCTCACAAATCTGTAAATCAGAGACAAGAAATTATCGACCCAATTCTGTAAAATTCTCAAACATAAAATCAATCAATTATAGTTCAGTTTTAAAAAGAAAAGACAGAAAAGGCATACCATGATATTCGCATTTCCTAAGCAGGGTTTCCAGTAACTTCAAGCAAAGTGGGTCATCATCAACAGCAAGAACTTTCATTCCAACAGGGAAGTTGTCATAATTACCGTTCTCAGTCCCCATATTCCCTCGTATTTCCTCCACAGTCATCCTCTTTAACAAAAAAGAAGGCCAGACCAATACAGATCAGACACTCGCTTGCTAAAGTTTCAATCTTTGCCGCAAAAAGGGTCAACTTTTGTGTTTGTAAATTGCAGAATTGAGAGAAGAAAATACCAATTATTAGTATATAAAAGTGGAGTATGTGTAGAGAGCGAGATGGACGTGTGGGCAATGATGGAGACGGGCAGAAAAGAGTGAATGAATTCAACCCAAGAAATAGCAGATCATACAATTCCTTTTAGTTATATCTCCATAGTCCATTCACATTCCCTCCTTTATCCTGTGATCTGTTAATCTTTTTCTTCCACTCTTTCCCTACACAAAAGTCCTACTCCTTCCGATTTTTAATAAACTTCACACTTTCCTTTTTGAGACAATTTAAAATAAACTTCACACATTCTTATTTCTCTTTTTGACAAAGAAATCAACATCAAAACAGTGTCAAACAGTGTCTCAACAGTGCCAAACAATGTCTCTACAGTGTCAAACAGTATCAAACAGTGTCTCAACAGTATACTTTACGGTAAAGTCAAATTTCTTTTCTTATTTTGTTGAAGTAGATTAAATAAAATCGGAGGGTGTATAATTTAGGTAATTTAGGTTGACGGGACTCAAACAGTCAAATCCATTCTCCCCATGACCCCATCAGGTTATCCATTTTAACTTTTTAAAGATGGAGATAACGTTGTAAGAACTCTGTAAGATACTCCGTAAGATACTCCGTAAGAACTAAGAACCCGTAAAAAGTTTTCTTTTTGTTAATCAAGTTAAGCTTTCATGAAATGTTTTCATAGGATACGAGTATTATTTATAATATAAAAATGCATTGAAATGTTTTTTAATAGAAACACATCAATATATATATATATATATATATATATATAAAAGAGGAACTTTTTAAGAGCATACAACGTGGCACATAACTCTGCCATGTCATCATATATAACAATTATTTAATTATTTTTTATATCTTTTATTTTATTATTACCTTCTATTTTTATTACATGTTGATATAAAATTCCACCTTATTTAGTAATTTTGGCAACATAAAAAACGTGTACTATGTAGGCAATATTTTAAATTCCTAATTTCATAATTTAGAAACATCAAACCTAGGCAAAGAGTTTACATTGATGAATGTAGCAATATTACGTAAGGGAATTTTAGATTTAATGGATCGTAGGCTATATTTTATGAGCCTAGGCTATATATGTTTCTATATTTCTATATTTTTATGTTCCTATAAAGTTTAAATTCAGATCCTTACGACCTTACATATTGATGATCAGTAGTCTATATTTTATGTTTTAATATTCGGAATTTAGAAACATAAAAATTACATGGAATTGAACACTTATTATTATAAAACGGAAGAGAATGTAAATTAAAGTATGCTTTCACAGTTTCACTATTCAGTTTTATAAATTTTAGTTTTGATCCAATTTCTCCTTCGCTTAAAGTGTTCTATTGTTTAGAGATCATATATCAAGAGCGTCATCACAATAAGTTTATACAATATTTTAATTATATATTATTAAAAACTATGGGAGTATATATGATACTCTACCATTAATATGTTTATGATACATAATATTATGCATCATACATGATTGATCAAAATTACATAAAATGCATAAATTATTTCACATCTCCACGTATTCACTTATCTCAGATTTTTATAGCATTTTACCTAGATGTGTTATTTTCTAATAGAAATTTGGAAGGAGGTCATAAAACTTTTTTGTAATTCAATTGTTTTGATTTCTATGGAACTCATCTTCTACGAGAAACTATATATATTTCTATCTACTTTTATTATATCAAAATTGAAAAAACAGTCGATTCGATCATTTTTTCTATTAAGTCATGTCTAGATTAACACGTATGTCTGGATCCGATTAAGATGTCTAATTAAGTGATATTTGTATTTGAGGCTATTTATTTTGCATCCTGAATAAACAGTCTGAATCATTTAAAATAAACAATTTAGTATTGTTCCTAATTTACAGTGTCAATGAAAAACTTCTTTTATTAATATAAATCTATTCCATAATCAATTTGAAAAAGTTGACAGAAAAACGTCTCAATAGACGTCTTACCGAGAAGGACTGCTATTCTCCAGCTTAATGATTAAGTTAGTTTTTTTATTGAATGATTAAGGCATACTTAAAAGTAAGTCATAAGTAAACATTACTTAAGGACTAAATATTAAGTGTAAATTGTCATTAAATCTATTAAGTCAAAATTAAACAACTCCTGAGTTTATTTTGCTTTTGCAACACATTATATATGATTCCGAAAAAAATCACGACTAAAGTTAGCTAAATTATGTCAGCCCGTGCATCGCACGGGCTTGAAAGCTAGTTCATAAATAAAAGAGAATATTATCCGAAATAGGACTAAAAAAGTTTGAAAATTCCAAAATAGGACTGCCATGTTTTTATTTCCAAAATATGACTAATTACTGCCATGTTTTGGCAGTACCAGACTTCAAACATGTCAGTTTGAAAATTCCAAAATAGGACTGCCATGTTTTTTATTCCCAAAATAGGAGTAATTACTGCCAAGTTTGGAAAATACTGCCATGTTTGAAGTCTGGTACTGTCAAAACATGGCAGTAATTAGTCCTATTTTGGGAATAAAAACATGGCAGTCATATTTTGGAATTTTCAAACTTTTTTAGTCCTATTTCGGGATAATATTATGACAAAATTTTAAGGGAATGGTGTAGCACTATAACAGATTAGAAAGTATTGGCCAAAAATGCTGAAAGACGAAGCCTTAGACCATCTTTAGTGGGGAGCATGAATTATTTAAAAATGCATTGCCACATCAGATAAATAGATTTTAGGGTAAATTTACTTGCTCCAGAACTTGCAATTTGCATATAGCCATACTGTGTATTGCTGAGTTGGAATGGAAAAAAACACACACCCACGATTTGTCCTTCTACTTTCCAACAGTCTCACTTAGCCAAAAAATTATCACCGGAGAGTTCTTGGAGGCAAGTGAAAACATTTCAGCCAAATCTCAAAAGAGTCTCGTCAAATTCATTTTCCAACTGATTCTGAAAACTGATTCTGATTCTGCTTCTGCTTTAAAAAAGAAGCAGAAGCAGAATCAGTTCCAAACACCCCCTAAATGGATGATTTTTTTGAAAAGGGTTGCACAATTTGAACAATAAGCAAATTGTATTAAAACTCAACGAATAATCCGGAGGTTCATGATCGATGAGAATAATACATGGCCATGAAACTTGTGTAGATTCCTGCACTTTTAGAGTTCTGTTTTTTATGTTTTAAGAATTCTGGAATAAAAGTTCATGATTTATGAGAATAATTTGGAACAAAATCTATGTTCTCCTTGTTCTATCACTTGGTTTATTTGTTTTTCCCACTTCATTTCATTAGTTTTTTTTTTTTCTATAATGGGGTTTTATTGTTCCTTAAAATGAGATTCTAGATTTTGAGGATTAGACCAAGTGAACTACGGAGTATTAAAATACACATGATGTTGAAAACTTTCCTGATGTATGGCAGCTACTTCCTTTGTGTTTTCTGAAACTTTAACCTTGAGAAGTGTTCATTTCAAGTTTTAAAGTGTTACACTAAATTGCGTAATGCTTCAATTCAATCCTTTCCCATTTTTCAGCATGACTAGACTAAGGATTGAATTATCTAGTTTGTTAGTTGGTCCCAACCTAATATCGGTATTTCTGAGTTTGGTTAATGTCTTTGTATTCTAAATAAGATTATGAGTATATATTGCAAAGGATTATGAACTATATTACTTCTAGGTGATAGCGTGTAGGAATCACTAGTACAAAAAAGGTTTTTTACATCTCCTTTTCTACATGTGTTATTTTAAAACACATGTAGAATACTAACACGGGTCATTTTTATAATATTTTTTAAACTTTTTTACATAGGTTGTAGTTATAACCCATGTGAAATAGCAAACAGTGTACTTTTTAAAAATTTAAGAAATAATCTAAATCAGTTATATTTGCAATCGATGTGAAAAGAAAAACGGGGTAATTTTCAGAATTAATGAAACTTTATTTTAGATTGGTTAAAACCGATGCAGAAGAAATATATATAGGGAGCGGTTCCGGTAAGAACGTATCCTAGGAGAGAAATGAGAACGAATCTGGACAGTTGGATTGAATTATGTGGAATTGAATTGTGCATTTGGTGAAACCGAAAAGTGCATTAGATGATATTGAAATATGCAAAATAAAAATTGAAACTCACATTTGCATGAGGTGAAACTGAAATGTGCAGAATGAAAGGTATAAAAATAACATCACATTGTATCTTTTATTCTGCACATTTAGTTTCATCTAGTGCACATTTCAAAGTCACCTAATGCACAATTTAGCTTCACATAATGCCACTACATTGTACCCTTTGTGCAGCACATTCATTCTCATTTTTCTCATAAGATCATGTTCTTATTTGAACCAAAATATATATATATATATATATATATATATATATATATATAGAGAGAGAGAGAGAGAGAGTCCTTTTCTTGTCCAGCCGGCCTGACGGGAACAGCCATCCGGCCGAGGGCATTTCGGGCGCCTCCCGACGGAATTTTTGGTGAAATTTTTTGAGCATGTTCTTCATGAAGTCTAGTTTATCCATACCAAATTTCAGATCAAAATTCGATCGGGAAGGCATTTAAATAATTTTTTGAAGTTGACTGCGTCAAAGTATACATATAAAAACCCAGTCAACTTCAAAAAATTATTTGGATGTCTTCCCGATCGAATTTTGAGCTGAAATTTGGTATGGATAAACTAGACTTGATGAAGAACATGCCCGAAACATTTCATCAAAAAATTCCACTAGGAAGTGACCGAAATGCCCTCGGCCGGACGGCGGTTCCCGTCAGGCCGGCTGGACATGAAACGTCCTCTCTCTCTCTCTCTATATATATATATATATATTGTATATCTTAATTACATAAATCATTTATTATTATTATTATTATTATTATTATTATTATTATTATTATTATTATTATTATTATTATTATTATTATTATTATTATTATTATATTTATACATATTTAATGGAGGCAAGCCGTAGGCTCAAGTCAAGAAAGGAAAGAGTGAAATGGATTATTCCTATAGTAATTACTTTGTATGTTACTATAAGTACTTACTATACTTTGTATGTTATTTCTACTTTTATTTGTGTAGCACCAAGTCGAATACCATAATTCCTGATTAGTAATTATGTTATTCTAACTTGTAGTCTCAAATGCAACTTGGGAGTTATGAATGTGGTTATTAAGT